CACACACACACACACACACACACACAGTGTGATAGATGAGTTTGGTGAGCCGCCCTAATCTCAATTGTGATATAACAAGAGGACACACAGTAAACCACTTACACACAAACACATTACTGGACCAGCAAAGTTTTCCACTAAAAAATAAATAAATAAAAAAAAGTAAAACTCTAGGCTTGACTGTTGCAGTGGTATATAAAAGTAGCTTCCTGTCTAATTCTGTTCTCACAGATCTAGATTCTACCAAGAACTGAATGCACTGCATCTGCTGTACGCACAAATCTGCTTTGCATTATAAATGAGTTCAGCAGGCATGAACAATAGCAACAGTTGAATTGTGAAACAGGAATATTCAGGAAATAAATGCATTTGCATAAACATACACTTTGCATCATGAGTAAACTTTTTACTGGAAGTAAGTCACTTAATGTCACGCTATCAAAAAAAAAAAAGCTCCATCTCTGACAGAACAAACACAAAACATATGCTAACAGCCGAGCAGCAGAAAACAGCCCACTGCTCTACGAGCAGATTCACTAGGAATTGGTCATTTAAACGGCTGTCAGGTTTGGGCTGAGAAATCACTCCGTTCTGACATTTCAAAGCCCGGGAGGGTTGCAAGTTCACCGGACCCTGTTTCCATTCATGCAGACGGACTGTCATTACTGATAGACATCAAAATGTTCCTGAAGGCTTCCTAACACTTCCTTCTTTACACATATATCATGTCAGGTACAAGATAAACAAGTTTAAAAGCAAACAGAAAGAAAGAAAGAAAGGAAAATGATGTTAAAGCAATTGTTTACTTAAACATAAAAATGTTGGTATACTCATGGTATTCCAAACCTGTTATTTCTGTGTGGAACACAATTGAAGAATTTTAGCGAAAAACTAAAACTTGACACTGCTTTTATTCCCTATACAAAAAATAATAATGCATATCTTAGGACTGTTTAAGCTTATTTTCACTGTGACAAATTCATTTTTTAATTTCTTCTTTTTGACCCGTCTCTCTCTTCCTCTCTCCACACACACACACACACACACACACAAATATATAAATATATAAAATAAATAATTTAGATATTTCTAAATTAATTGCTTATATATATGTGTGTGTGTGTATATAAAGTATGTATAATTCATATAGTAGTTAATTTTATATTTACATATTATGTAATATATGTATTATTATATATAGTATGAAAACAACTTTAAAAATATAAAGTGATCACTTAGAACAATAAAAAAATTAAAAATAAATCTATATTATAATAATATTATATATATAATTTTTAAAACATAAAAATGGTTCCTATGACATATATGCTAAATTCAGGGTGATTTAGAAAAATAATTGAGATCAGCAGTGAATTACACATCAGCAGTGAATCGCACATATAAAGGCTTATAAAGGCTTGGAATATAGTATTTGGACTACAATTATGATACTTTTCAGTTTGATTTTCAGTCCTTTTTGTTGTTTGACAGCTGTGGGCACTATATAAACTGTCCTTGTAATGGAAAGAAAGAAAAACATGTCTCAAATGTTCAGCTAGTGTTTCAACATCAGGATGTGGAAATAATGACAGAATTCATCTTTAAACAGTTGGTACAGACCATCAAGTATGAGATGGCATCAGAGTTATTCTGGGAAATCCAGCGTGAACCGAGAGAAAGTTTCATTGTGTGCTTGTTGACAGGAGAGATAAACAGCAGCTGAAGGAGGCTGTGATGAGAGGCAGCTCCACGGCCCTTAATGAGCTCCACCGCACAAGCAGCTGGATGAACGAGTGAAAAAAAGGGACGTACGTGCCAGAGAACACAATGCAGACGTGTGGTTGCATGTGTCAGGTGACTGCTGACTACTCCAAAGACCTCATTCATGTTTAATGACATGCATTGTTGAGTTCCTACCTGATCCAGTTGTCTATTCATCAAATGGAATTTCTGAGGTAATCAATCGTAAAGATGCCACTGAATTTATATGAACCATAATGAGGCGGCTACCACTAAATAATGACAATGTTTCAGACTCGGTTCTTTGGTATGTTTTTTGGGGTCAGTAGAGACATGCAAGTGGCCCCAAAAGCATTTGGGCATTTAGGCAACACTTAAACCCAACATAAAACACTGTTTGCATCTGATTTTACCCAGTGTAAATGTGAAAAAATGTTGAGCGGGAGATCATTTTAACAACCAGATTAATTGGACTGTGAAAAGAGGGACCAGAATGGAGTGAGGTCATTGGAAAAAAGGGGTTAAAAAATAAGATAGAATCCTGAAAAGGAATATTCAGATGTAGGTTTTGATGAAAAATTAGAAAGAGAAAAATGTTTTCATTGGAATAATATGAACCAGTGAATCAATCACGACAACTAGATCAGTAATAGTGTCAATTTTGACTGTAAAAATGACATTGAGGTGGTCGTTAAGATTTGTAAATATTTTTTAAAGTCTCTTATGCTCACTAAGGCTGCATTTATTTGATCAAAATTACACTAAAACCACTATTGTTATTACTATTATTATTATCATCAGTTGAAAACAGTTGTGCTGCTTAATATTTTTATATGTGTGCCTTTATAAATAATAAAATAAGTAAGATGGCTCAGTTACTGAATATGAAACATTTGAGGTTTGGGGTTTGTGTGCATTTAAACCCAAATGTATGACTTTTACTGGCTGTTGCACACATCTAACATAGTAGACTAGATAGTGAGTGATGTGCCATTTTAGGTCATGTTGCATGTTCTGGGCATCAGTTGGATGATGATTGACAGCTGCCAATCATCTATGTTTACGCTTTCACTTCTACATGAACAGCAATTCCTCCATCTCAACCAGTCTTCTGTCAGCTCGTATTAGTTGAGCGTTCTCTCATACACGCAGTGGTCTGGATCGAACCAACTCAAGTGCTTCCTCAGCCTGGGGTACGACTGTCAGATCTTCCTCAGGTAGAGCTAAAAACAGACACGTCAATCAAAAGTCCTTGTAAACCTGAGCATCTGGCCTTTTCAGGCCAACCAAGATTCCCTCAAAAACAACAAAAGCCAGCGGCTCAAAATCACGCAAACATGGTTAAAATTAGCCCCCGTCTGCTTTCCATTCAGTCCAGGTTGAGATCCCAGCTGAGTGTCTGGCCGTGTCTCTCTCAGGTCCTCCTCCTACACACCACATTTCCATAAGAATGCAGCACGCTCTGCATATCAATCCGAACTCTTAATTAAAGAGCTGCTATATTCCTGCTGGCGTCACATACGCGGGAAGTGCGCAGTAGACCCTTTCTCCCCGTTCTGTTGGCCATTTGGAAAGCAAATGAGGGAGGTGATCACAGCCCGGACGTGGCACGCACATTTGCAGGACACCTAATGTGAATATCAGTAAACTATGGAAGCCCGTTTCTGCCACTGAATAAAAAAATAAAAAAGGTAATTGTGACTTTTTATCTCACAATTCTGAATTTTTTCAGAAAAAAAAAAAGTCAGAATTGTGAGATAAAAAGTCACAATTACCTTTTTTATACTCGCAATTCTGAGAACATATCAGTCAGAATTGCGAGATATAAAAAAAAAAGTCAGAATTGCGAGTTTTTATCTCGCAATTGTGACTTTCTATCTCGCAATTCTGACTTTATAACACGCAATTGTGACTTTATATCTCGCAATTCTGACTTTATAACACGCAATTGTGACTTTATATCTCGCAATTCTGACTTTATAACACGCAATTGTGACTTTATATCTCGCAATTCTGACTTTATAACACGCAATTGTGACTTTATATCTCGCAATTCTGACTTTATAACACGCAATTGTGACTTTATATCTCGCAATTCTGACTTTATAACACGCAATTGTGACTTTATATCTCGCAATTCTGACTTTATAACACGCAATTGCGAGTTTATATCTCACAATTCTGTGAAAAAAGTCAGAATTGTGAGAAAAAGTCGCAATAAACTTTTTTTTTTTTTTATTCAGTGGCAGAAACGGGCTTCCATAGTAAACACTCCAAGTGTGCGTAAAAAAACGTCAGCACATGTTCGCTATCATATGCTGGAAGAGTGGTAAATTGTGTAATCTTTTAGTGCGAAGCATAACGGAAATTAAGAAAAGTAAAAAAACATTTACTTTGGGAACTTTTCCATTGACTATTTTGAGTACTTGTAAATATAAAAATATATAAATAATAAATATTAAAAACAAGTACTCCAGGACAAATATAAAACAAAACAATCTACAAAACCGGTTATGTTTACTATTTAGAAATGTCAAAGTATTCAAACAAAGTGATAATATACACAATTTCAACAAATATTTTAAGCTATAATGTTTACTATGAAAACAAATTTATTTTTTGTCATATCTAAACAAAAGATGAGTCCATTCACAAGAAGATAAACTCATCTCCAGTCTCTGAGAACTTTGCTGAAGAACGCTTTGGATGTGCCTGTCCAAGTTCAGCTTAACACATCGGATGAAAAAGTAAAGTCCTTTTTTATAATGTCTGCCAGTTTCGGTTCCACTTCTGACAACAAGCCTACCAGGTGCTGGACCTGTAGATGAGAGAAGATGAGAAGATCTGTGATCAATCAGGGTCTGTAGGAGCAGCTAAAAGGAAAAAAAAAAAAAAGAGAAGAGCGTACCGCTGTTACATGTTGAGGTACAAGGGTGCCAACAGCAGACACACAGCTTCTCTCTGTCAAATACCCTTCCTTGACTATAGATGATAACAGATCCTGAAGATTAAAGGGAATTTTCATTAAATTAATATGTAATATATTTAACATTTGTATGTTTTAATTTAGGAATTTTGAAATTTACTTTATATTTTCATAGTATAATATAATATAATACAATAATTTTTTTTGGAATGTACTTAATATAGTATACAATATGATATATCTTGATTTAAAATTGTATAAAATTGTATATTGTATAATAAAATTTATTATTTTTTAAACACATTTTTATAATATAATGTAACATAATAACTTAGAATTTAATAATTTATTATTTAATATTGTAAACTTATAACTTTATATTTTTAATAACTTAATATAGAATATTTAAAAAAATTACACTTGTATAATAAATTTTTTTTAATTTAATGTATATTTTTTATAATATTATAATATGGTGTCAAGTTAGAATTTAATAATTTATTACTATTTTGCAAACTGGATAGCTGGCAATTTCACCTTATTCAGTTCCATAAGGACGGCTGAGAGGAACTCGGCTGTGGTTTCAACTAAAGCTTCGAGCTGTTCATCTTCCACTTGCTTCTCTTCTTCTTTCTGACTCCCTTCTGATTCTGAGTTTCCAGCTGTTCGGCTCTGACGGCATTCAGCGTTGAACTGCAGGATGCGAATAAGACTTCCTAATAATGCTGAACCTGGTATGATTAAACACACATTATGAAAGCAAAACAGCAAACATTCAACAAACAGCACAATGCCTCTCATGAAGCAATGAATTTAATATGCCAAAAGTGTGTTTTGTACTGATATCTGTCTGCAGGCTGGAGTGTAACGCTGACAATAGGGCGAGCGCTGAGACCATGAGAGCTTTCTGCTCCTGCAGGATGAGAGGAGGATCGTCCGCTTGACATAAATCCTCACATACGATCTTACACACAAACGTCCACACCGCACGACCACATGCTCCATCTGATACTGTAGACAAAGTAAAAACAAGAAATCATTACATATATTTCATACACCTTTTCTAAGGAGAGCCATAAAAAACATAGTTTATCAGAAAATAACAATCTTTTTTTAATTATATTTTTTTATATTGATCACATTTATTTAAAATGTTACTTCAAGGACATATTAAATGATGAAATAAATGCAGCCTCGGTGAGCATAAGAGACTGACTATCAGAGAAGGAACGCCAAAGTGTAGCTTAAAATGTGATTATGTTATTGCCCCTAAAAAAAAATTTTTAAATATAAATGAATTTTCAGGGTCGGTGAGGGTCAGTATGTGTGTGTCTCACCCAGTGCCTGCATGCCCTCTTCTACTGTAGTCAGAAGCTGGAGTGAATGAAGATACACTTCAAGATCCTCTGGACTTTCTGACCTACAACACAAAAAATTGAGCCTAAATTCATATTTCAAAAACAACATTAATCTGATTCAAGTGGAACATCATCTCTTCCTCTAGCAGCAGACAGAAGAATAGGTTGGTACAGTAAACGGCTCGGACAGACAGACGAGCAGAAGGTCACATCACCTTAATTAAAGTGTCTCACCTAAGCTGTGTGGCGGCCTCAAGCAGAGAGGACACGACGTCCTGCTGTGTGTCCTTATTTGGGTCAGTGTTGCTGGGTGGGGTGGACACCCAACTCTTCATCATCTCCTCATTCTCATCAAAGAGCTTATCCACCAGCTCCCCAACCTTAACCAGCAAATCCACTGCAGAGAGAGATGCACTTCAGTGTTCCAATACTTGAGAGGCTCAAATCCGTTTGATAAACTAGCATTAAAACACATCAAGGCCCGGTTTCACAAATGAGGCTTAGCTTAAGCCAGGACTAGGCCTTAGTTAAATTAAGATATTTAAGCAACTTTTACAAAAATGCCTTAGAAGAAAACATTACAGGTGTGCATCTTGACACAGAACAACGACACTGACATATTTTAAGATATGTCAGAGTAAGATATTTTCAGTTGAGACAGCTCAAACATGCATTTTAGTCAGGGACTAGCTTAAGCCTTGTCTGTGAAACCGGGGGCAAATGTATGTATTTTAAAGTTGTGTTTTGTATTTTAATATAAAATGTCAATTAACTGAAGTAAAATATATGTTTTAAATGTTAACGTTGATGAATTTAAAATTTGAAAATATAACCTTTGTTATATATTATTTTATACAGGAAATATTAACATTTTAAGAATTACCTAAACTTATTCATTAAGTAATCAAATGTATAAAAACAATTCATGTTCTTCACTGTGTAAATGAAATATACATTTCTTCTTATTAAAGTTACAAAAGTGATTTAGCTGTCACTTTAAGAGCTGCCCGGATCCAATGTACTATCAATATCTATTTATCTAATAACTAAATATTAACTATTAAGCCTACATTTGGTCCCAAACTAACAAAAAAAGTTTATAAAGTTTATAAAAAACAAATGTAAATAATAATAATAATAATAATGATGATGACAATAATAAAAAATTTTTTTATTATTATTATTATTATTGCTAAAAACACACAATAAATAAATTATCTTTATTTGACCCTCTAACTCTAGCACTTTCTATTCTAATTCTACTTCATGTATTTATCTTTTTTTATTAAAAAAATAACACTAGCTTTCTATTTTTTCTATTCTATCTACTTGTTTTTCTTTGTGTGTGTGTGTGTGTGTGTGTGTGTGTGTACTGG